ACTAGGCCACAAAAAGTTTAGAGTCATCCAATGTTTTATGTCCTCAAGACAAGCCTGCAATCTACCCAACCGATTAGGTTCATCAGGGTTAATGGATAAATATAACTGAGTATCGTCAGCATAACAGTGGAAGTTTATCCCATGCTGTCTAATGATTTTACCAATTGGGAGCATATATATAGTAAAAAGAATTGGTCCAAGCACTGAGCCCTGTGGTACTCCGCAAGTAGCCCTGGAGTATGAAGATGATTTGTCATGTACATTTACAAAATGAAATTTGTCAGACAGGTGGGATTTAAACCAGCCTAACGCTGTTCCTTTGATCCCTACAACATGTTCAAGTCTTTCTAAAAGAACATTGTGATCAACTGTGTCAAAGGCAACTGGATCAAAACGGTTCAAGCACAGATGAGGTTCTACAGTCACCTCTGATGCTGCCTCACTTACTGAGGAAGAAGAAATCGCATTAGGGAGGATGCAAAAGATTTTGTTTCTAATAGAATTAATTTTACTTGTAAAAAAATCCCATGAAGTCATTGCTGCTGAGGGCTAAGGGAATAGATGGCTCAGAGCTATGATTCTGTGTAAGTTTAGCAACTGTACTGAAAAGAAATTTAGGATTATGCTTATTCTCCTCAATTAATGCTGAGAAATAAGCAGTTCTAGTTTGTCGAAGCTTGTTTTTATAAAGCACAAGACTATTTTTCCAGGACAGGTAGGCCTCCCCATGGTGCGTAGAGCGCCATGTTCTCTCCAATTTCCTAGAGTTTTGTTTTAAGGCTCGTAAATGAGAATTAAACCAGGGAGCCAACTTCCTGTCCCTAATTACCTTCTTTTTTAAAGGGGCAACATCATCTAATGCCACATATAAAGAGGAATTAACATGATGAACTAAGGCATCAATTTGTGAGGGGCTAGAAATGAAAATATTGCCCTCTGCTACGTGCCTCTGAGATGCTGAGGACAGTAAAGATGGAACAGTTGATTTAAAAGATGCAACTGCGTTGTCAGATAGAGACCGACTATAGTGAAATTTACTTTCATGTCTCGAGAACTCAGTTATAAAAAACTCAATGGTTATCAGAAAGTGGTCCGATATATATGTATTGTGAGTAGGGCTGGGCGATATGGCCTAAAATTAATATCACGATATATTGAGGATTTCACCTCGGTAACGATAAATGGATGATAACTACAGGTATGCACAGAAACAAAATTTGTCCACTAGATGGGGCTGTCACGTGTATCGTATTGAGTCACATTTTTATGTGACCCAAGGTGGTACAGCTTCTTAAAGGGACATAAACACTGCCAATTTATCGACATGGGACAAATTATCACTATAAGAATCAGAAATGTAGATAATGATACATTTTTGATTTATTGCCCAGCCCTAATTGTGTGTTTGGATTATTATGCTAGTTGTGGTCATTCCTTTTAGAATAATTATTTTTCTTCTTTTCATCTTTGTTGCTTTGCGTTGGTTATTATTTAGTTCTTCTCCTCCCTAATTTTCACAGAGGGCGGTAATTCAGCCATGTTTATTTTTACCGTAAATCCTCTAATACAGGCCGGTATTCAATTAAAGGCCGGGTCTCCAATTTTGGCCGGTGTCGGAGTCAGCAGAGGTGAATAATGGCCGGTCTTTTATTGTGGCCGGGTGGAATGTGGTAATAAGCAAGAATGAGCGTCTCAGCGGCAGGGTTATAGTCCCCAAATCAACCAGCAGGTGGCAGTAGAGGTTCGCGCAGACCTTTATTAGGCTTTTTCTTCAACGCTTTGTAACGCTACAGACACGATCCTCTATCACGCTCCTACCACACAGAGTCACGGTGTCAGTTAACCATGCTAATTCAACCCGCTCCACAGAACACACATCACCTTCCCTGTGGCTTACATAACACTCACACAACACGCAAATCAGCACATAGGAACTAGCAGAACGATAGGAAACACATATAACACAATACCCAGAATGCACCTGGCTTACAACCCCAGCCAGGTCATTACACTATCAAGTTCAAAGAGAACATGCTGATTATGCTGCAGAACACTCTGGAGAGCAGCAGTAGGAGGTGTATGAACTAGTCAACTTCACTATACAGTAATCCCTCGCTACTTCGCGGTTCGTTCATCGCGGATTCGCTGCTTCGCGGATTTTTTCTTTGGAGCATTTTTCAGGGGGAATTCGCAGATTCGCGGTATTTTTCTCTGATTCGCGGTATTTTTCTATGCGAAATATCAAGAAATTCTTGTTTTTTTTCATCAATTTCATCATAAAATGCACTTTTTGTAATAAAACTAAAAAAAACCAAGTAAAAAATTTTTTTTTCTTGAGTTTTACCCACAAAAAGAGAATGTGATCATACGATAATTCAATAGGGAGCGTGGTTTCACAGACGCGGAAGTGAGAGCGTCGGTGAAACGCCGGCTGATCTAGGAAACCCCCGAGCGTTCGAGCGTCAACGAAGTGACACGGAAATGCCGGGTTTCCAGAAGTAAGATAACTTACTATGAGCTGATAGTTCGTTGGATTGATCGGTAGGTTGGAAACTCCGATCATGAATCTGAAGAAACGATGACTGAGTGGTGAGCTGTAAAGGCGACTTCCGTTTATAGCCGCGGTTTGTGACGTAGGTGCGACGTGGAGGGAATCCCCGCGACCGTAGGTACTGACACGCGATCGTTCATGTCGGTTCATTTCCTTTAATGTTTTCTATCTTTTATTTGCGCCTGATGTGTATCGCTGCTGTGGAGCGGGGCGCTTCACCTTGTCCTCCGACGCACAGATCACTGATGCGGCCGCCAAACAGCGAGCGCTCCGCTGTTTTTGCGGTCGGTAGATCTTTTAGAACTGCAGTTCAAAGGTAACTCATAAGGTGAATATATATGAACCCAGGTAGCAGTTTTTCTTTAGGATTGAGAGGAGATGCAGGAAGATAATAAACAGACAGGACAGAAAAATAGTCAAATAAAAACAAGTTAGTTTTTGTACCTGGTGGTTGCAACAAACAGACGCCATTGAAGGTCATCAGAAGTGAGGAACAGAAAATGAAAGAATTATTTTAATGTTTAGAGCAGCAGGAACTCCGAGAGGCTGCAGGCACATCAGTGAGTTTGCGGCCGCTGCGCGGGGGGAGGGGGGAGAGGGCTGAAGCAGGGGGAGGGGGGAGAGGGCTGAAGCACAAACTACCGTTGTTAAAAGAAATGGGTTTAACTTTGAAAATGTGGGCGCAATTTTAATTGTCAAAAACTCCAGCGAACCATTAGTTCATTTTGCTCAAATAGAAATAGAGGCCTGCCTCTAATACTGGCCCTCCTTCCAATAAAGGCCTGGAGCTTGATGAGCTTGAGTCAAATACAGGCCCGGGCCTGTATTAGAGGATTTACGGTATACATCTAAGTAACCACCTTTTGTTAATAAACCTTTTGGCCATTTCCATGTATTCAACACCTTCTTTCCATACACCATCCTTTACTTCACATCCTTTTTAATTTATATTATTTTATTTTCCTTGTGTTCTCCCCCTCGCCACTCCTAGATGCCAAAGGGGATGCAACAAGGATTATTATGCTAGCAACAGAGTTTATATTGGTCACCTATGAAATAAAACATTTTATAATTAGAGCAGATTAAAGATGCAGGAAATGGAATTTTTTTTTGGAATTAACCTTTTCACATTAGAAACTAGAAGGGGAACCAATTTGATTTGTACAAAATAAACAACAGTAAATGAATAAAATTAAACGGGAAGAATGAATAAATTAAATTTATCCAAATTATTGAGAAAAAATATCTAATTTTAAAATTATGGCTATGCTTGCGACACTCTAAACTACCTCATCATGCATTTTGCCACCAGGGAGCTGCAGGTAATCTACAAATTAGCCCCGGTGGTGTGTGCACATTTGCTTTATGCCAATTTAATATCACATTCTTGAAAACAAACACCTGTTGCAATATACAAAATAAATCATTAACAATAAATACATATCATTTTTGAATAAGTATTGAAATAATTCAATGCAAGTAACTTGTGGCTATCAGCTTGTATAAGCACACTTATTATATAAGGAAGGTAAGTGCAACTTTTGGGTTTTACTGTTTAATATTAAAAATACATGATACTTTGGACTATTCAAGAAGAAGTTTCCAGCCAGTGGATGTGGAAATTACATTGTGGAAAGCAACAAAGTTTCAAAAGTCAGCGAGACAAACGCTGCGCATGTGGTACTCAAAATATTGTAAGAAGGTTGGCAGTTCTGTGTTTATGAAAGATTTTCCCTGTCGTCTCTATGGCACTTCAGGTTTATTCCAGCAGAAGTATTAGGAGGTTCTGACCCATGGTGTTGGTGCTGAGCCGGACATTTCACAGGAACTAACAGCTAGCTCTATTATATTTAATATAATAATAATTACCCATGCAATTCAATGTAAATGACCATAATGAAAACATATGGAAAGTTTAAAGATATATGGAAAATTTGCATGAACTGTTAGGACACATTTGAGTCCATAGAAGATTTCCAACAGAAAAAAGTCAACTCAGTTAACCAAATTGGCCAACAGTTTGGCACTTTTTTAGCAAGAAGAACCTAGAGTTCTCTTGCTCTAACTCTGGCCCAGACTCGGTAACAAAATCTCTGTTACATGTGGAGTTTGCCTCTTTGCATTACAGCTGACTTTCCTTGCTGTAGGTGTGTTTTAGTTGATCACTTATGAATCTTGGACTTTCACTTCCTCTGTTTGTGTTGGGAAAATTTCCTTCTGACATGTTTGAGGACTCAGAATTGTTTATTATTATTTCTTTAAAACTACGAAAGAATATTTTCTTCAGTTAGTGATGCACAAAAATACCTTACGTAAAAACTCCTGACTTTTTGTCCTGATTTCTGTTTTAGTTCATTCTGTAATATTAATAAATAAAATGATTTTATAGAATATAAGCTTAATCTGTGAGAATTTTAGTAACAGTCTTGCTGTTGGTGTTGCTCTGCAGCTACCAGAGGAAATACCCCTACAAACACGTGGCCCGAACATTGTGCCAGCCTCCGACCCGAGCTGCTTCTGAGACCCAGTACTTCTTTGTGGACGTGTCCACCCTGTCCAGTCAGGGGACACACTACCAGCTCCGAGTCAGCCGTGTTGAAAGTTTCACCCTGCAGTGAGTGATGTGACAAAAGGGGCTGGCTTAAATCTCTGATTTACTACATGGCTGACCCATTTCATCTGATTACAGGACAGACGAGAAGTTCAGCTTCACTGCATCTCCGTCCCAACCCCAGGTGAGCAAACCTGGCTCCTCGTTAACGGGCCCGGCTCCTGTTTAACCAGCCTGACTGCTCATTAACTCATTTACTGCCATTGACAACAAAATTCGTCATTTTAAATCCAACTGCTCGCTGCCATTGATGACTAAAGTCGTCATTTGCATTTTTTTACTGGGCGGCCATCTTAATTAGCCCTCACACCGTCAGAACAAACATCACAGCTCTAAAGCTGATCTTCATCCATGTAAATCACAAGTCACGTGATCAGGAAGCAGAAAATCCACGTGTTAGATCATTTTGAGCCACTGCTGTGAAAAAAGTGAGACGCGAACCAGAAAATCGTTTGCCGCTCACAATTTGGCAACGGATCATGCTAGAAACAAGCAGATTCTTCCTGATGTGAGAAGTGAGGCTACTCTTTGGCACTGACATCATTGTAGAGCACAACATTCTGTGACTCTTCCAAAAAACACTCAGACTCTGGCAGAGAGGCTTTTCTTATCAGGAAATGCTCCTTGTTAACTCATTCACTGCCATTGATAAAATACACATTTGTTGACTTTAGTTATCGGGGCAGGCTTGGGAACAAGCTTCCACACTTTGGGAGTAAACATCATAGCTGTAAAGCTGATCTTCACCCATGTTTGTCACACGTCATGTGATCACGAAGCAGACAATCCAGGAATTAGGATATCGTTTTGGGATGATATGAAACAAGCGAGGCGCAAACTGGAAAAGCTTCTGCGGCTTGCACTTAGACAACTGATTGTGAAAGAATGGAAAAAGCTAGAAACATGCCGACTCTTCTAGATGTAAGAAGTGAGGCTACTCTTTCTTTTGGTAGTTTTGGTGTTTACATAGTCATAGAGCACAGTATTCTGCGACTTTTCATAAACAGTAAAAATGCACGAAAACGCTGGAAGTCAGGGTCTTTCTGTTCAGAAAACGGCTGACAGTGACTGAGTTAACCGGCCTCCTCTGCATTTATAATGAAAGGACAAAATACCACCAGAGCAGGGGTGAACAGCACGAGCAGCACATGTAGAACATGAAGTGAGAAGGATGGATTTTGTAATAGTTTCAGTTTCTCAGAGTAAGAATAAAATTTTCTGCTCTAGCTTTTGTGTCATCATTTCTGATTTTCTGCATATGGATGGTTCCTTTTTTCTGAATTTTCAGAATAAAATGATGCAGATGTTTGTGTCTTTTTTCTCCCTCTCAGTACTTTAAGTACGTGTTTCCAGATGGCGTGGATGCAGTTATCTTAAAGGTCAACTCTGACATGGCCTTCCCGTGCTCTGTCATGTCTGTCCAGGACATCCAGGTACCCCATCCCCCCCCCCCCCCCCCCCCCCCCCCCCTTAAAACCTACTTTATTCAGAGTAAAGTGGATGTTCTTATGTTTATGGCTTAATTTTTCAATCCAGTGCCCGGTCTATGACCTGGACAACAACGTGGCCTTTATAGGGATGTACCAGACAATGACAAAGAAAGGTGCCATCACTGTTCAGGTATTCCTTTATCCTGTGTGTTACAAGGTTGGGTGCAGATCTGATTATCCCACAGTTATCTAACATCTCATCCTGTAAACTAGAGGAAGGATTTTCCCAGCAACAGCTTCTATGTGGTGTTGGTTGTGAAAACGGAGGATGAGGCATGTGGTGGCCCGCTGCGCTTATACCCACTGAGACCCGATGAACTGATCGATGCGGGGAACCGCACGAAGATCCTGGATGTGATGGTCTCGCCTGCCATAAACTGTGAGTAAATAAAAAATGCTGAAGTCTTCTGTTCAGAAGGGCACCAGCTGCCAGATCTGAGTGGATCCTGTTCTATTAGCAGGATGCTTGAGTTAAACCCACCAAGATCTCTTCCATGGTGTGTCTATGGCTGCCTATACTCAACTTCACGATCACCTCATCACCAATAACATCTATGAACAATTTAAATCTGGCTTCCGTCCTCTTCACAGCACTGAAACAGCACGTCTCAAAATCACCAGTGACCTCCTCACTGCTTCTGACTCTGGTTTATTGTCCATTCTCATTCTTCTCAATCTCACAGCAGCATTTGACACCATCTCCCTTAGCACTCTCCTCAGCAGACTGTCATCCATAGGTGTCACTCATATTCCTCTTGCCTGGTTCACCTCCCACCTCCTACCTCTCTGGTCGTACATAATTCGTTCAACTGAAGTCATATAAATCCAATCTCTTTCCGTTTTCTGCTGGTGTGCCACAGGGCTCTGTCCTGGGGCCCCTTTTTTCATCATTTACCTTCTCCCACTAGGTCACATTTTCCGTAAACACAACATTCGCGGATGACACCCAGCTGAACCTCTCTACCAAACCCTCAACTTCACTTCCACCTTCCACCCTTACCTTCTGTCTCCAAGAAATCCATTCTTGGTTCACTTCCAACTTCCTCAAACTGAGCAGTTGTTAAACTGAAGTCCTCCTGGTAGGCACACCTCATCCAAATCTAACAGTTTCCCCACCTCTATCGATAACTCAGCAGTTACTCCCTCTCCTCATGTTAAGAGTCTGGGTGTCATCCTCAACAGCACACTTTTTTCAATCTCACATCAACAATATTAACCGGTCTGCTTATTTTCACTTTCGTAACATCTCCCGCCTCCGTCCTTCTCTTACTCCCTCCACCACTGCCATCCTCGTCCACAGCCTCGTCACATCCAGGATTGATTATTGCAACTCACTTCTCTTTGGTCTCCCCAGCAAATCCCTTGATAAAATGCAGCTTCTCCAGAATGCTGCAGCACGTGTCATCACTAGGACTCCATCATCTCACCACATCACCCCCATCCTGCAACATCTTCATTGGCTTCCCATTAAACAGAATCAGCTTCAAAATTCTGCTCATCACATTCAGACCTCTCCATAACCTGGCTCCATCCTACATATCTAATCTCTAATTCACATCACCACTCCTGTTTGTGCGCTTCGTTCCTCTACTGCTCCTCAACTCTCGGCTCCCCCCGCTCACCTTGTCACCTTGGGGAGTAGAGCATTCAGCCACTCTGCTCCCCACCTCTGGAATTCTCTTCCCCCCCCATCTACGCACCAATCACTCTTTTGCGCTTTTTAAATCAAAACTCAAAACCCACCTCTTCATACAAGTTTTTACCACATAGTTTTAATGCATTGTTTTTAAATTTTAGCATCTTAGTGTTTTTACATAATTCTGTACTGTGTTTATCTTGTTTTATTGTTTCTACCCATTGTTGTAAAGTGTCCTGAAAGGCGCTGTTAAATAAAATGTAGTGTAATATTATTATTTAACATCCGCCTCCCGATCAGCTGATGACCGCTTCGACACACCTTGCTGCCTAGTGATTGTAACGCAAGTGATGTTTAGGCTTCTTATGTTTAGAAAATGCTTCGGTACTGGCTTCAGTTCTCTCCACAACACCGTTTCAACTAACCAGGAGCAGAAAAGGCTTCTTATGGCTGGAGATGAGCTGCTGGTGGAGAGTGGAGGTGAATAACAAATGGAACACAGCGGTGATGCTAGAAGTGAGGCAACCAGAAGGCAAAATGCCAGGCTCAAATACGATTGCTGGGTTTCACATAACGTTGCTTCTATATCACCAAATGCAGATGGGGTCCGGAAGTAGCTGGTGCTGCACAAAACACTTTTTACTTTGGTGACTGGGCATTAAAATGCAGAAATTCTGTGCAGTCTACGGCCATTACAGTCACTCTAATCGGGAATGAAGACAAACGTTTTTTTCAAGTCCTGCATGTAGTGCACCACAAAGGACGTTTATATCTTGTTAAAATCAAACAAATGTACCAGAAACTTGGATTTAAAAAGGCATAAAAATTTAGCTACAAGTAGATCCTAATACTCAGTGTTGCCGATTGCTTCAGCGCTGGGTAAATCCTCCACAGTGTATGAAAAGTGTGACTTTTCAAACTGTATGGGTCACAACCTAAAAGAAGATGTATTTTTTCGCGTCATTGCGTCTGTGGCAGCTCATTTAAAGCCGTAGTAAAATCGCTCTCATCCATCTCGCTGTGTTGCATGTCTGTGTTTTGTTGTGGAGCGAAACACTTCCTGTCCCCCATTTGAGTTTCGCACGGCTGCAGAAGTCACGTGACGTGAGTGAAATCCAGCGATTGGCTCTGGGACCATGAAGAATGAAGAGGGGCGATGTTAGCCTGGCCGTTTTTGAAAACAGAAAAGCCGGCATTCTCCCAGCCAGCTGAACAGGAGATCTTGTCCTTGTAACCTTCCCTGCAATGTGATAGACACGTTGGACTGTTTTGTGATTATTGTACTGTCCAGTTCGTACATAGTTCACCTTTAAAGGAGACATAACATGAAAAACCCACTTTTTTATCCATTAACACAGTGTGTTTCACATTTTAAGTGTCTTAAGTGAGCAAAAAGGCTTATATTATTCATTGGAGTTGCTATTTAGATATTTAATAATTAAGTTTTGGGCATATTTGTCCACCCGTTCAGTTTTTCACATTATCTATTACATCAGTAATTTATTTCGTCAGGATAACTACCAAATATGGTAATGGCCCTCGGCTAAACACAGAGCCAATCCGCCATTTTTTCTTCTCGCTAAGATTTTTTTTATTATAAGAGCTACTTTAGAATTTTAGATATTGTAACAGATTTTTATGCTAGTGCTACAACGTTTTGTTTAGTACTACAAAACCTACACCAGTGCTATAAGCTAGAAACATACAGTCCTGGTCACACAGCAAATGGGACAGCACATTCACCGATTCATACCCTTTGTTTATAAAGGTAAATCACATTGAGACATCAGCTCTCAGTTAAAAGAAAAACCAGTTATTTCAATAGATTTCTTTTCCCTTGTCCTCTTGAAACATTTGATGATGGACATGAAAACCAGTCCAACCAGAACTGGGCCCAGGTAAGCGTGAGCTTTTGTCTCCACAGCTGAGAAGTACGTGATGGGCATGCTGTTCTGTCTGGGGATCTTCCTCTCCTTCTACCTGCTGACCCTGCTGGTGGCCTGCGTGGAAAACAAGCAGTAAGTTTACATTTTCAGTTTGCTTAGAACACGTCTAGAGGTTCTGTTTGCTGCATAAACCAAAAGAAAAACAAGCGGATAAAATGATTTGGGTATTATCTGTTAAAGAAACATCTTTGGGATACCCCACACTGGTATACATCCCTGCTGTTCCTCTGAAACTGGCTTCAACTTGCATCAATAGTTCCAAACTGAAAGTTGACCTGACATCTATTCTGGCCACGAATTGAACGTCTTTTGGCGTGTCTGACTTGGATGTTTATTAATTAAAATCTGGGCATCTTATTACTGTATTACTGTAAAAATATATCATTACTGTAAAAAAAATCTGATTGCCAGCCTGGATTTGTCCCTGGGTCCTCTGACTGTAAGTTGGGTGTCTTGCTAGTTGAGCTATCTCTTTGACACCTACTGTTGATTGAAAATATTTCCACCACCAAAAATGGTGTTAAAATCTGCAAACATTTGGGCGTGTGATGACAGCTGAAACGACGTCAGTCCGATAAAAGTTAGACATCTCCCTCTCTAACTGTCTATCTGATATTAGATCCTGGCTCTTGCGTAATCTACTTAAGCTAAACGGCAATTAAACTGAACTCCTACTCATTGGCACTGCTTCTGTTTTAAAAAATTCTCCCAGTTTCTCCTAGTCTCTAGATGATGCACTTTCATTCCAATCTCACATTAACCATGCTACTCGGGTCGCATATTTCCATTTTCGCAATATCAACAGACTCCGTCCTTTTCTCACGCCTCATGCTGCTGCAATCCTCGTTCATAGTCTCATCACCTCTCGTATTGACTGTTGTAACTCCCTTCTGTTTGGCCTCCCGACTAAATCCCTTCATAAACTCCAACTTCTCCGGAACTCTGCAGCACGCATCATTACTGGGACCCCCTCAAGAAATCACATCACTCCTGTTCTTAAAACCTACACTGGTTGCCAATAGAAACCAGGATCATGTACAAGATCCTACTACTCACATTTAAATCTATACATAGCATGGCTCCACTTTATCTGTGTAACTTACTATGGGCTGCATGGTGGCGCAGTTGTTAGCACTGTTGCCTCGCAGCACGAAGGTTGCAGGTTCAAAACTCAGCTGTGGCCTTTCTGCGTGGAGTTGCGTGTTCTCCCCATGCATGCGTGGGTTTCCTCCGGGTACTCCGCTTTCCCCCACAGATCACAACATGCCCTATGTTATAAATTGTAAGTTGCTTTGGATAAAAGCGTCTGCCAAATAAATAAACATAAACTATTGCAACCACTTCCCGATCTCTTAGATCCTCATCTGCTCTTCATCTGGTTCAACATCGAGCTCGCCTTACCACCATGGGGAGCAGAACTTTCAGTTGCTCTGCTCCGCGGCTCTGGAACTCACTTCCCTCTGCCATTAGAAATACGGACTCTTTTCCATTATTCAAGGCACCTCAAAACCCACTTATTCAAACAAGTTTATTCCCTTTAGACCTACACTTTAGATTGTTTCCAATTTTTATGTATCTTATTTGTTCTTATTCCTCTATGAACATCTGTTGTTTTATTGTTTTTATCTCTGTTTAATTGTAAGGTGACCTTGGGTTTGAGAAAGGCGCCCTCAAATTTTTTTATTATTTATTTTTTATAGATATTTTAAAATATTATTACTATATTTTGTAAAGATGGCTAGTTCCAAAATAAAAGTTGAAACAATGTCTTTTCGGGTCGTGAGTTTCACTGCCTTGCCGTTGGACCAATGTTTGCTGGGTTAGTTTGATTTTGGTAAAACAAACACATTTATGTGTGGAGTTTGACAGTCCGCAACTGAGCAGCTGACGTGAAACTCGCTTGGAAATTTTCTGTTCTCCTCAACTGAATTTGAGGGGAAGAGGAGCGGTGCGGGCTATATGTATGAAGAACTGTCCGGACCTAAAGCCCTGCAGACACACACACACACACGCACGCACGCACGCACGCACGCACGCACCTTGGTTTGTTTAACTTTGTGTGGGAAAAAATTCCAAGAACATTAGGAAAAATAATCAGTTTGATTATAAAACAATAAAATAAAATATGAAATCTGTGTCTTGTTCTAGTTCATATTTCCTACTGCATGAGTTCAGTTGTATTCATTTATGTGCTTAAATATTAAATTCAATTAAAGTTTATTCATAAAGCACCAAATTGCGACAATATTCATGTTCTGAGTTTACTGAAAATTTTGTTCTGTAATAGTTCCTTTACTGTTGTGATCAAAAACATTTAATCTCAGTTCTGAGGCCTCTCTGTTAAAAGTTTTCAAATAAACAATAGAGGAAGCAACTTCTGATCAATCCATATCAATTTCAGACTTAAAATAATGTACTGATTGAAGCCCCACCTACTTACTGTGACACCACGCCCAGTTCTGGTTTAGGCTCCGCCCACTCCGAGTACAGATACAGATAAATTAGATGGTTGAACAGATACAGATGGTGGTGTACTTGCTCATCCCTAGTGCTCAGCATAAATGAGTACACCCCTTTTAAAATATGAATTTAATCAGTAGCTCAATGAACAAAAGAACAATTTCCAGAATTTATTGGTTTTATCGAACACGTGTTTAACTCCATTACATGAAATTGAGGTTAATAATACAAGTTAGATCGCAAAATCTTCAGTTTTACTAAAATTGGTTTAAGCAGAAATTAATGCACCCCACAACAAAAACTACTACATCTAGTATTTTGTATGACCACCATGATTTTCAAGAACAGCACCAAGTGTTCTAGTCATGGAATAAACAAGTCGGCGACATATTGCAACATTTATCTTTTCCCATTTTCCAATAATAACCTCTTTAAGAGCCTGGATGCTGGATGGAGAGTGATGCTCAACTTGCTGCTTCAGAATTCCCCACAGGTGTTGGATTGGGTTCAGATCAGGAGACATTCAATCACCTTCACGCTGTTCTTCAGAAACGCAACAGTAGCTTTAGATGTGTGCTCACGAAATTCCTGCGCTGGCCGCTCCTCCTCTGTTCACATCAGGCGAGAATTTTCATCGAGCACTTCTGCTCACACCTACTGTTTTCTAACCCCCCTCCCTGTGTGTATGTGTGCGTGCATGTGTGTGTGTGTGTGCATGCATGTGTGTGTGTGTGTGCGTGCATGTGTGTGTGCGTGCGTGCGTGCATGCATGTGTGTGTGTGTGTGTGTGTAACCAGTTTGCTCTGCTTGTTGATATCAGAAACTGCGCTGATCCTGCTGCTGTTTTGTAGACCAGTTCCTTTCTAAGTGGTAAAGTAAATAACAGTTTGTGGTAGTGTAAAATACTATTGTAAATTTACCTTTTAATTAAACATATTTGTATTCACATTTATTAAATCCATCTTTTGCTGTGAAAACTGCATTTAAAATGATGGAAACGCCGTGTTTCTCCACAGGAGTGTGTGTGAGTGTGTGAGTGTGTGTGTGTGCGCTTGTATGTGTATAACCAGTTTGCCCTGCTTTTTGGTATCGGAAACTGCGCTAATCCTGCTGCTGTGTATTTGTTTGTATTTACATTTATGAAATCCATTTTTTGCTGTAAAAACTGCTTTTAAAATTATGGAAATGCTGTATTTCTCTGCAGGACTCTGTGTGTGTGTGTGTGTGTGTGTGTGTTTGTTCATTTTTCATCTAGTCTGTTTAGATCATCGACATATGGTTTAGATGCACAAAAATGATCACATTTATCAATTGCGGTGTTTTATTTAGAAATTAAACTTTTTTTTATTTCCCGGCGTGCCTCATCTGCTTTGAATTGACTTCCTGCCAAAATTGACATGGCTCACTGACGGCTCACGAAAAAAATAGAGCTCATGCCGAAACGATCACTGCACGGCGCAAGCCTTCGTGACTGATGTGACTGAGAACCATCGACATATAAATATTGGACAATGGGTTTCCATAGGCTCCAATAACACGTTTTTGAAGAAAAATGGGAGGTGGCCACCACCGCCATTTTGACCGTGTCACAGGTTGCGTCAAGCCCAGACAATTCCACAAAAGGGAAGAGAGGAGGAGCTGAGGGTGGGGCTGTAAGGCTGGGATCAACTGACGACACCCGGTCGAACTAGCTACAGGCTAACCTGAAGCTAACCCAAAGCTAACGCGGAGGTGGGAGCTAAGCTAATGGAGGTAGCAACCTAGCTACAATCGGAGTTAACTGTGCACAACACTGACCGCTGGGTAAAACCGGGTGGAACACAGAGGTCTCCCGAAAGCTGCTGAAAGCCGGCAGCCTGCGCAGCAGACAGAAGCCGCGATCAGACAGAGATGCGCCAAGCTGCGGGGAGGGGAGAAACGGGTGGGGGAGGGGAGAAACGGGTGGAACACAGAGGTCTCCCGAGGGCTCCACAAGCCGATAGTGGGAACCCAGCTCCACCAACATGTTATATTTCAACCCATTTTCTAAAGTGCAGCATTATGTTAAATGCACTGGGTTTTACCCTATTACATTTAAATTTCATGGTTAAACAGTACATGTTAAAATCTAAGCCCAGCTCGGCAGTGACCTAAAATACATAAATATAATTTTACTTACAGAAAAAAATGAAGTGGAGACTCCTTGGACGCTCTATTAGTGCAATTAATGCCACAGCAAGTCATTTTGTCCAACAATTGCACAAATAATATCCAAATAAGACGCACAAACACTGAGACTCAAAATCCCGGAGCAGTTTCCAGGACAGACCGAGGCTCTACTGAGGCCTTTCCACGGAGCTAGCTCTGCGGTCACGTGGGTCTGATGCTCATTAATTATACAGAATTTTAGGCTTTTAATACACTTAAACAGAAGAGTGAGAAAAAACATTCACCCCCCTCAGAGTTGTCATGAGTGTAAACTAGATCATTTAAACCAAAAACATGTTCTGGTACCAGGCTGTAAACATGTTTATTTCTGCTGTGAAATTGGTATTTTTGACATGGGAGTCAATGAGGATTTGCTCGCTTCTGACACCAGCCCCTAGTGGATGAGGGTGGAACTGCAATTTTTG